ACCTGAGCTAGTCCACCTCAGAGCCTCATTCCAACCTCACGTCCCCCGAACTCCTCTGAGTCACTCTGAACACCTGAGCTAGTCCACCTCAGAGCCTCATTCCAACCTCACCTCCCCCGAACTCCTCCTCTGAACTCCTGCACTTGTACAGTAGCTTGACTTGCCATTCAAGGGCCCTGTATGGCTGGGGCTGGATCACAACAGCTTTCATATACAATTTTAAATAGACTTTAATTTTTAAGATTTTTCCAAAAACTGGAAAAGATGAAGTGCCATGCTACCAGGAGTGTGTCCAGAATGTAAAATTGATAAAGGATCACTACCGAATTCACTGTGAGACTGTCTGTACAGTCTTTCTGGACCTCCACTGTACACAAAAGCACACTTAAATATTTCAATTCCACTGTCTCCTATTACTTGCATCATAGGTGATCTATCTAAGATTAAAGCAGGACGGATCCCACATTGTGCCCTGTTTGCAAGGATAGACTCAGTGAAAACATTTGAGAAATATTTACGATTGGAAGGAAAAAACAGGCAAACTTAGAAGTGGGTGATAGATGTAGGACACAGGTCCACGTGTTTTCAGGAGAAAATTTATTTAGAATTTGAATTTTTTCACTGGTGAGTACCCAAACACAATAGGGAACTCTATAAAATAGCTGGAACATACATTTTATTAAATGCTAACAGAAAATCCACAAGCATCTACCAATGAAGACTGATTACAAATGTCATCATTTAGATGAATATGTTGTAGTAGTTTTGGAACCAATTATGTATAATTTCACATCTCAGTGCACAGCTACCTTTGGATCATTTGTTGACATGTCACAGACAGCACAGTCCCGTACCTCAGGTACAGGTGCACACTCTTCACCACAAGCCTGAAGGAGCCTGGGAGACCCAAAGGTCAATGTGATAGTTCTGGCCAGCTAATCCCGCCCAACCCTCAGCAGTGCTCATCCACTTGCACATCCCCACTTGGGGAATCTCAGTCACAGTTAATAGTGACCTGACCCAGAGTCAAACCCACAACACCAAGAACATAGAATTAAGAATCTGCACTCAGATGAGCACTTTTACTTGTTGAGCCTCTCAGGAGCTTTGGAATCTTGCCTTACTTTTCTATTAATTATCCAGCCCAGAGAATAACAAACATAGAAAGGGAAACCTCTAAACCCACATGATCTTAAAGCTTTTTCAAAGATTCATTTGATTTAATTTTAATAATTCTGTTTGATTTAATTTGTATTACTTTTTATTTCTATTAATCAGTAAAAGAAAAGCATATACAGTATTTTCCTTCTATTTTTTAAATTCAGGATGAAACAAAACAGGCAAAACACTGAGTTTAGAATGTGCCTCTTGAGAGTAACATTCAGACAGCCACACTGTTCTCCACAACAGATGGAAGCATGTATGTGTATTTAATTTCAATGCTTGTGTTGCGAGCATTTATTTCATCCTCAATCTTCTCCAGCTCAGATCTGAATTTTAAAATCAGATCTTGGGGTCTTTTCTCTGTGAATTGTTTCTCTGGATAGTCTCCCAGTTTAACCTGTGAAAGAGAGGAGCAGAGTATGATGATGTTGAAATTGTATACTTGACAGTAGTTATGTTCTGTGTTGATCAGTACAGATACATGGTTAATTGTGATACAAAATGCAATGCTTACAGTATAGTTACAGTTTAACATTTATATTTTTGCTCTTGAAGTGGAAAGATGAAGAAGTTGTTTTGGACCAAAAAACATACTAAGCAAACTCTAAGCCTGAATAGGTTTAAATAGCTTCATTGGAAATTGAACAAAACTCTCTCCTGCAAGTTAAGTAGAGAATTAAATGTTAATATTGTATTTTAAATTCTTTTTCATGATATTTCATCCTCATTCTTCCCTCAGCATCTATGTATTCTATACTTTATGAAGACAATAAATCTTCTTTGATCCTGGTTTTTAATTAGGTCTGGAACATATTCTGGGCAAATTATGAGAACAAGCTGCTAGCTATGGATCTGCTGGAAAGGAGAAGTTTTAGATATTTTCCATGATACAGAAGTATTATCTGAAACGTCAAAGCAGTATACAGATGCAGCTATTATAAATGAGCGAGGTAAGCTGCGGTAAAACTCAGTGGGCGTGTCATGTCATACCGTGTCATACTGTGGTTGTGATTATAGTATCCGGAATTACCTTGAAAAACCGCCAAGTGGAGATAATAAAGCTTAACGTCTCATGTACAGCATTTCAGCAGTAGCCAGAAACGCCTGGTTTCAAATCCTGGTCAATGCTGAAGGACAATCTCTTTCCAATTAAGAATTTAAGCTGGATACTCTCAAGACTTTTAATCATTTTAAACTTTGTATTACAGCATGTTTATCATTAAACATTAAAAAGTTGGTATATTTTATAAAGCAAGATGCTAACTTGGATAAAAATACACAACCTACCACCTTTATCATAAATATTTTAATTATGCAAAAATATTTTATGCATCAAAATCTTTACAGAAGATATTACTAACAGTATTAATGAGTGACCTTGGACAGGCTGGAAGTTCAAAGTATTACTGTGGTCCACTTTCTTTGTAACTGTCTTTGTAAACAAAAAAAAGACTTTTCATTGAGAAAAAGTTCCTCTCGATCACGTATTAGTTTCCAATCATACAAAGTAAGTTTTGAGAATCTCCGATGCACCATGCCTTTCACATGCTCATAAACCTTATTAATTTAGGAACATAAACATATTATGTAAACTCTATATGGCTGGTATTGGTAGTCTAAAGAAAAAATACACACCAGTATTCCACTTTCTTCCTAAACATTTTAAGCATTAAAGTCTTACATGTGTAGCAGGGGAACCAGCACATAAAGCTTCTCCTTTATATGGGAGTTTAAGTTGTGAACAAATCAACCCCCGATGTGTAAATACCTTTCAAACCCTGCCCTGTCCATTTGAAAGCAGGTCTAAATCCCACTCCCACAGAAAGTAATAGTAGGAAAATCCGCACATGGTCGATCCCGTTTAGGTCAGTCTGCTCTGTCCGTCTGTTTTCTTATCGGCAGGCTTGCATGATAAGGATCGAGGCTGCTACTTAAACTAAAGTCTTATTTTCAGTTTTAATCCAGCCTGAATATTTTGAAACTTTTTAAATTGACACAATGGATCTCAACTAGAGGTCTAGTATCTCACCATCAAGAAGACTGTCAGGGTCTAAGAAGACAAACTCTGTCCGTTCTTGTAGACTATTTCTAGAGATTTGACTTTCTACAGGTGCAGCAGATTCTATAATAACCTTGTGAGAATTTCGAATTTTCCAGTTTTAGGAGTGTCTCAACATCAACCCCTGGTGGCTCAATCTCAATTTTTCTCTCTTTCTGGCTTCCTTGCTACACTCCCTCTGAATTGTTGATATAACTTATCAATCACAAGCACTGATACTGTAATGCTTGGGTCCATGGAGGGGAGATCTGGAGTGCAGCTGCTGATGCTTAGTGCTTCAAACTAAGTTGTTTTATACATTCCGGAGGATCCTAATCCTAATCCAAAGAGTTGTATCACAAGTGTTTATGTTAATCTCTTTAAAAATTGTTTTGTTTGATAACTGTCAATTAATATAAAATGTGATTAAATATGTTATCAAAAGCAATACATTCACATCATCCATCTTATTTAGGTTTTCAAGATAAACCAGAATATATTTGCTTACTAACTTGATGGTGTCTAAACAGTCCATGTCAGTGTAGGAGAGGGAAACTCACTTTGTCAAGATAAGAGTAGCTGACCATCCTTGTGACAGCCAGAGTCTTTAAGGTGCTGTTTTTATCAGCTATGCTGTGAATGAGCTCAGAAAAGATGAGATCCTGCTTCGTAGTGGGAGGAGGGCGGGTCATGGTGGGGGGAGCGTTAGGCATCCAGGAACAATAGTCAAACTGAGGGACAAAAACAGAAGCATGATTATAAATGTAAAGTTGTGTTTAACTTTACTAAAAAGAATCCCCTCCAATTTCATCTGCCAATATTACTGCAGCGAGCCCGGCAAAAAGGATCAGCAAAATTTCACGAACATCCATGAATACATATTGTATAGGAACATGCGCAAGAACAGATATACAGATTAGATAAGTATAATGAAAAAGGAACAAATCATGCTTGAGTCTGAACTCATATGCTTTGTATGGAAGAAGGTTTTGCTAAGTGGTGACTGTAAAGATACTGATCATGTAGGACAAGCTATTTAGAAAATTAATCTCCTGTCAGCTAAGTCAGTCCTTTCCTTATACCACAGATGATTTTGCATTTAATATACTATATAAAATTGGGAAGCAAACTCCTCTTTGAACATATTTTATTTTATTATTTTTTATTAACCACACCAAATTTAGAATTAAGCCAGTATTGTTTGTTAGAAACTTACTCCACAGAAGAGCAACCAGATTGTAGTATATCCCAGGGCCCAAGGGAATATCGTACACTGACAGACTGAAGGAACTAAACGAATATCATTATCTTCAAAGGCACTGACAAAATAATGCAGATTTCTTCTGTATCAACAGTGAAACATAAATCAGAGGACTCAAGTGCAACTACCTGGAAGTGCATTTAAAACCAAGGAGTCTTTACCCAGTGGGTCGTGGGTATACGGAACAAGTTACCCAGATCTGTTATTTCTGAAAATACCCAGACAAGATAGTACATGATCCACTTACATGCAATCCTAGCTAATTAATTTAAAAATGCTCCTGCATTATACAATAATAGCATTAATTATCATCTGTGAGTCAAAACTGGTTACCACTGCAACATGACTTGTGTGATTTGTCAAAATGGCCAGTGGATCTAGACTTGCCAAAAAAGATTGATAGGTGACATTTGTGGTGTATTAGGTGTTAGTGAAAACATAAGCTTTATTTAATCTGTTGTACTACTTCTTCAAATCAACTTAATATGAAATATTAATATATTACGTCTCCCTTCCACAGTTTAATATCCCCGGATGCATCCCCATTACCACTATGGTCTTAAGAGATTAACCCGTTAGTGCAACTAACTAAAAGAATGTTATTTAATTTTTTTAATTAAATACAGTATATGGAATTATTAGTAAGTGTATAAATAGTAAATAGAAAACAAATTTCCTCTAGGTTTTGATTGCAAAATATACATATTGTAATATATATTGTATTTAAAAGCTAATAAAAACAAAACAGAGGTCAGTAATGACTTGAATAATTTATGGAAGGGTACTGTACAGGAAATTGTACAGCACAATATATTGCAAGTCTGTACTTATATATTATATTATATATAATATATAGGGTTTTCTTTAAGGAAACCACACTGTTGCCACCACAATGCCGCAAAATTGCAACAAAATGTTTTTTTTTATTTATAATATGCTGTTTCTAGTGTGTTTCTCTGTAATTTCTTTTATGTTTTAATTTTAATTTCTTCAAGTTTCTTATTCATATACTGTAGATTCATTTCAAAAGCCTTCAAAATAAAATGGACTTCGGGATTACTTGGTTTCACTTTCTCTGCAAGCAATTATAAGATCAGTAACTTTAATTGTGTGTTGTTTATACAGTACTTATTTATTTTATACTGTATAATGTTTAGTTGCAGCGGATTCGCAGTAGGGGGCAGCGAAACTGGGTGTGGGCTTTTATTTTCACTCTCCGTCAATACACATTCCCAGCAGTCACTGATTCTGCTTTAGCTTAGTAACTTCAAGTCCCATGAACCCTTCTGGATAACTTTATGGTTACTAATGCATCTTACCATAAGGCAAATTACAGTACAAAGTACAATTCAAATGACTACTCAAAATTTTTGTTTTAATCTGGCCTTTTAAATATGAAGATTTTAAAGTCCATATTTCTAATATATTTTATAATTGAAATCATACATTAATA